TCTTCGTCACGCTTGTGACGTTTTAAAATGATGACAAGGTTGGGGAAAGTTGGTTGGTGGGGGGGGGGGGGTGTTTGACGAGTCAAGTGTTAATCACAGGGTTAATAGTTGCTACTTGAACGAATTCGAGAAATGAGTTGGCATTTCTCGGGGGGGGGGCGCTTAGATTAGCTTCTGGCGGGGCGTGGGAAGGGGGGTTGCGGCAAAAATCTAAGCCCCCCATCAATGGCCTTTAGACACCCCATCAATGGCCTTTAGACACCCCAATATGGTTTCAATGTGAGCAAGTCTTCTCCATGATAAAGTTCGCTTACCCAAGTAGACGGCCATCACTCCTAGTTCCTTGCCTTTGGATGGATTGAGAAGATGAGTCGCTGTGTAGGGTAACGGTATTTTAATTCTTTGTAACGGTGTGCTCGTTTGTTTTCCCGTGTTCTTGTACTACACACACCCACTGAGTGTGACCACGTTTGGGGCCACGATTGATCCATTGTGTGCCTCTCGCAACTTTTCAATAATAAACATATTTGAGTCATCTCTATTGATTGTTCGAAGGACTTTTTTATTTTATTTTATAATGTGTGTTTTTTTATTTCTATTTTATAAAGGAAACGAGATATTGTGTTCATTTTTATGGTAAGTCTCTTTAACAAACGAGGAAGATTATTTATGAATTAATCTTACCCAAAACTGATGGGACTGGTTAACCTTGGATGACAATTCATCTAAGAGAAGGGATAAATATTATTTGCATCGATAGTGGACGTGGCCCTGCAAAAACCAGTGTAAAATAATGTGCCAAAGGAAACTTGCATGACAAATGACAGTGCATGACACATGACAGTGCATGTAGATATGAATTTTTAAAAATAATTTATAATTACATCAACTTCGATTTTGCTTATGTGTTTAAGTCTAAGATGAAATCTTTTGCCGGCTAATTTACCCACTTCCTGTTATCCTATCGAGCTGAAACTTAGCACAGAGACCCCTATCCGGTGACAGCACATTCTTTCAAATTTTCAGCCCCCAACCCCTAAAAATCAGATGTGACGCCACCAGCGAAATAAAATTACCGATAACTGCGCTAAATGAGATTCTTGAATATGTCGCTAGCGCGTTTGGTGCGTAATATCTTCTTTCGTTTTACAAAAATAGTTGTATAATAAATGTGCGGTGTAAAATCGGGTGGGACATTAGAATATTGATATAGTTGAGTGACGTGAAATAAATATGCAGTTGCGAGCCTTGGAGGGGGGGGGGAGCACTAGTTGGGATTCTTATAAAGTGCAATACTTCAAAAAGTGCATTACTTGAAAAAGTGCATTACTTGAAAAAGTGCATTACTTGAAAAGTGCATTACTTGAAAAAGTGCATTACTTGAAAAAGTGCATTACTTAAATGCATGTTTTCTCAAATTTCCCCCCCCCCACTCCCCACCATCAATTTTTTTTTTTTTTTTTTTATTTCTCGATAAAAAAAAAAAATTGTAAAAAGGATTTATACCAAAAAAATTTGTTTTTATGGGTAGTTCAGTTTAATTCTTAAAATTTGATCATCGGAACACTTTTTAAGTTTACCGGGCGTCTGCATCGGATCCCCCATTTGTGTCTATGGTGCTGCCTAAATAATTGAAATTGCCTGCTCACGCGTCGAAAAACCTAACCCTAACCTTCTAATTTATTTGTCTACGCACCATAAGGAAAAAAACAAAAAATATTTTTTATTTAACAATTGCTTCAAAAACGTAATTAAAACAACACGTTTTTTTTTTAAAAAAAAAGTTGCATTGCAACGCATGCCGGATTCTCCCTAGTAAGATAAGATAAATTGAAATATGACTAATAAGTCGTCGCTGCCAAAAGTCAAAAGTAGTGGCAAGGCGGACAACGACAGGAAAGTATGGACAAATGCGGATGCAAAAATTATTACGGACAAGGGGGTCGAAAATACAAACTGTCCGTACTAGATTCGGACGTTTGGTAACCCTAACATATCCAATCTGGGGAAATTTATAAATTAAACATTGGGAATTTGGTCAAAACTGTGTGGCAGCACTGCCTGTCAACCGGATGTTGATGTTGTCCATTAAAAAGTACCTCAGGAAATGATGATATTGGAATGATAAATTTATATAGTATAGCCCTTTAATCTATAAATAATGAAAAAAAAATCTTAAGATGCCGGACATTTACAGAATTTAATAAAATGAGCTAGCTATATTTCATTTTTACTATTACTAGACTCAACTCAATGTGAGTACTTTTTTTAAATTTTAATTTACGGCTTACGGAGCTAATTAATAATAATAATACTATTTAATTAATTTTTTATTTTCTTTCTTTATTACAAATAATACAAGCCTAAAAAATAATAATAATAACAAATTTTGAGTTTCTCTGTTTTGCTTCATTAGAGGGTGGAAAATCCTATTCGCAAAGGTAAGTAGTGTTGTTGCAAAACTTCCAAAGTAAACTAAAGAAGAGAAGCAGAAGGCACTTGGGCAATTCTGAAACTGAAAGTGAAAGTTAGCTTAGACTTACAACTGTAACTTACACTTACAGTACAGTAAAATTTAGTTTTACTTACTAACTTAACCAAAGTTTGTAAGTCTAAGTAACTTTGATCATCTAATGATCTAATGATTTATCAATGAAATGAAAGAAATGTTTCAACAAATGTTTTGATTTTAAGGTAAAAAATTATGTTATCTTTAGATTAGTGAAGCATGTATTGCAAGCATATTCTTATTACTTATAGTTATATTATGATAGTAAGCCTAAATATTTGTGTAGCTATTTAAGCAGCCTATTAGTGCTACCTATTGATATATCTTTATTACTAGTATCAGTAATCAGTCACAATTAGTCTACTAATTACTAATAATCTGCCCAGCTACTATAAGTATAAGCTATTTAATTTTCATTAATTACCCTACAACTACTGTTATGCCTTTTATAAGAATTAGAATTTAACTGCTAGACTCTATCTCTAATAAAACTATCTAAAACTTTTCCTTTCCGTGACATTTTGTTTCTCCCTGGAGACATTATCATTCATTATGAAGTGTAAATTACGCTGTAATTGCAATAACTTGCAGCTACAAGTACACGAGCTAGTAATAATATGAACAAAAGGAAGTCTTGCATTGTATTTGTATACAATACATTAAAAAAATTAATGCATCATAATCATAATGATTTGCCTGATGATCATATTGGCATTTATAAAGCCTAGTCTCAAGTCATCAATTGCTAATTTCTAATAATCCATCCCTCCATTCATCTGTATTTATTATGTAATTTAAATCCTTTTCATAAAGCAGTCTAACACTTTGAGACCTGCATGTGCAAGTAACAATGTAAAGAGAAGACTAAGGCAAGGCTAAGGCAGGCCTAGTCAAGGCCTAACTGCATGATCAGTCCCTTATTTATTACTTTTTAAATGTGATCTGCTAGATATGACATTGTATAACATAATTATAGGTACGTAGCTTACCATAAAAGTAATGGCTAAATCCGAGGGCGGCTGCCACAGCGACTTTTGTATGTTTATTATAGTTGCAGTGAATTAGGGTTTAGGTTAGGTTGAGGGATCGATTTTGGGTTCAGGTTAGGCATAGGGATCGATTTAGGGTTCATGTTAGGCATAGGGATCGATTTAGGGTTCAGGCTAGGCATGCAGCATAGGGATCGATTTAGGGATACATTCGTGAAATTCGATAAAATAGTGGCAGGCATTGTTTACCAAAGTAATATTACTAATATCTTAAACTTTAAAAAATTTAAACTTTTTTGCCTGCACATGTTTTTCAAATTTCAGTAAGTAAATTTTTTGAAGATTTTATCCACCCCATCCCTATCCCAATTTGCCAAGCCCACATTATTTTTTTTTAAACTGTAAAATTAAGATAGCAATGAAGTAATGATACAATTTATGACTAGTATGATTATAATAAACAGTACATTTGACTATTTACAAATAATTTCAAATATCTTTAATATGAATCATTATGAATGAAATGATTGTTTACAAATAATTTCAAATATCTTTAATATGAATGAAATTTCTTGTACCCGTATGTTTATGGTTCAGCAGGTCAAGAATGCTAATATATCTTGTTTATTTCATTATTAGCGAAATCCTGAGAGAAGATGGAAGCAAAAACACATTATTTCAAGGCATTAAAGACATGTTCAGGATGTAATAAAACATTTAAATCTAAAGATGGAGTCCTTTGTGTGCGATGCAATTGTGCAGAGTAAGCATTCATTCAATTTAATTTTTTTCTCTCATATCTAAAAATAGTTTCTATTATTAGATTATAAAGTGGCATGTCTATTTTAGGCATTAGTCTTTGCTGATGTGTTTTTTTTTTTTTTTTTTTTTTTTTTTTTTTTTTTTACTTAAATAATTGACTTCAGGCTATTTTGGCAGCCTTTTGCCCCCCCCCCCCTCCCCTCTTCATCAAAAATTTTTCACAAAAAGTATCACACCTAAACGACACATAATAGCAAAACAAAATGTTCCCCCTTCCTCCCTAGACACAATCTGTATATGACAATGATAAATATAAAAATTATGAATGTGACAATTCATTCTAACAGAGCATTTTGTGTCTTGTTTTTCTTCAGCTACTGCTCGAAACTTTGCTGTCAGAGTGACAGGAAAAACCACGAGCTGGACTGTGAGCACCATATCTTCATACAGTCCACGGAAAATTTTCACACCTCCTACAAAGAGTTGAATCAAGTCAAGCCTAATCATTTAGTTTATAAATTTTCAATCGAGAAACCAAACCCCCAACCAAGCCATAAGGCTAAAAATGACAAAGGTGGCCCTAAACCAACAGGTAAACAATCGGCTCAGAAAAAATCTGATGTACAAAGCAAGCTGCAAAAAGAAGGTATTAAGTTTAAGTAATAATAACCCTATAAAAAATCTATAAATAATTTCTTGTTTATTAATTGAATCTGATTCTTAAATTTGTTGCCCCAATGTGCCTCCCATTTATGGTACAGTAGCAATGTGCCTCCCATTTATGGTGCAATTGCTTTGTGCTCCCATTTACGGTGCAATTGCATTGTGCTCCCATTTATGGTGTTGTAGCATTCTGCTCCCATTTATGGTGCAATAGCACCCTCGTATGTAATCAGATTATCTTACCAGGAGTAAAGGTTGGGGCTTGTACAACTTTTCAAGTCTATTTCCGAGAAAATATCTCTTCAAATTAGTGTTAAAATTGACTCTGTCGACTTACTCCACTCCTGCCCTCGTAATTAAATGTCTTCTCACTTTGGACGAACAATAACAATTACCATGCCGCTGTTCAATACTATTAAATGTTTTAGTATTTTCACTTGCCAAATGTTTACGGTATTTGTACTTCTCAAATGAAATACATACATACAAAGGATAGCAAGTACAATAATGATGAACAAAGGAGATCTCTAAAGTTTTTTACTGTGCTCTGTTTCTTGTCTTACTTTTCTGTGTCCTGTTCGCTGAAGAAGGCTCTAAGCCAAAACGTTTTCTTCTTATTGTCATGTCTTTTGATTCAAGCTTCAACATACCTTGTTTTACTATTTCATGAACATTGTTTGACAGCTTTAGGCCATGATCGCATTAAATTTTGATTAAGCACTATTGTATTCCATATTAGGGACAGCGGTCACTGCTCTCGGCAACCCGGTTGCTTTCCATGAACTAGATGACAGATTTGTCATTAAAGAATGCTGCTATTGCAGGAAGACTGATATGAAGTTGCTGATGTGCTCCAGATGCCAGTATGCAAAATACTGCACCAAGGATTGTCAGGCAAAACACTTTCCGACACACAAGAGCCAGTGCAGTAAGTGTTGGGATCTTGGTGTACATTCACCACTACTATTGTTCGTATGCCCTACGGTTCTGGTAATTATTTGCTGTCATGACTTAAATTCTCAAGTTACCTAATTTTTTTTTTTTGATTATGTTTATTACTATACTGTGTAGTTGTGCAGCAATCGCATGACAAAGTACACCGGGGGGGGGAAAAAGGAAAAAGGGGGAGGGGGAGGTGTACTTCTTTACTAAATGACATGCCACACCATGAAGCCTGACAAGGTAGTTTCAAACAAACCCTTCCTCCTTCCATCCTCAATTATGGCCCATTATCTGTTATAATATGAATTATTAGGAAAGGGTCTCAGCGAGCAGCAGAGTCAAAGCTCTTTAAAGTCCTCCCCAAGCACCCCCCTCAAACCCAAATAGTCCCCCTAAATATCGGGAAGCAAAGCGGTACATTGGAGATCTCCTCCTATGTCAATAAAGGGAACGGCTGTGTCAATATGGTAGTAAATATTTATTTCTTTTATTGTAAATTGGATTTGACAGCACTCTGCTTCTCTGTGCCATCAAACCCTCTCATTGCTTTCATAGCTTTCCCTAAAAGCTTATTTCTAGACAAAAAAAAATACCAGGTTGTTTAAATGAAATTGGATTAGCGTCAATGGACAGATAATATTTTATATGACTTCTTGATGTAAAATAAAAAAAATAAACATTAAAAAATAATGAACAGTTGTCTTTTGTAAAAAATATTTTTGGTAAGAGGATTACTGTACAAATTTGATACTCAGTAAGAACAATTGAAACATTTTTTTTAAAAAATATTTCTAGAACAGATAGGAATGTTTAACAGAGCAAGAATGATGCTGTTGACCGACCCCTTAGCTGCGAAGAGACTGGTCACATATGGACTCACTCAAGCCACTTTGACCCCTCAGCTTAAAGATATGCAAACTCTGGAGGAATGTACGTATCTTAACCAAGAAACTCCTCTTTTTTTTTTTTTAAACTACATTAGTTTGATGAAGTATGGATGGGGCTTTTGTAAAATTTTAAAACTAGGTCTCACGCAAAGCTAGTATTGAAAAAAAAATTTCTGCTGTAAAGAAAAATCACAATGAAACAGGCAAGCATGGAAGTTGATACTTTTTCTAACTTGCTGGTAACTAAAATCAGTTGCAATGCTAACCTTCAGTTGTCCAAAGTCCAAAGAGCTGTTGGACAAGTGCAAAAAGGCCACTAGGGATATGCTTGAAAACTGAACTCTTAGCAGACTGTGCACATATGTAAATAAAATGGATGTTCTGTTCTCTTCTGTATAAAAACATTTCCAGTAATGTTTTTCTCATGTTTTGTGGACTATTTAAAGACAGTGGAGGTAACTTTATATTTCTTTATTTACTATAAAAAAGGCTTGTGCATTAGTTTATAGATCTTAAAGCAACGCCCCACCCCTGGGGCCCAGCACCTGGGGGGTCAGCGGCCCGCCTTCCCCTCAGCATGCAACCCCCTACAGATTTTTTTTTCTTGGCAGGTCTGTGAATAGTACCGTAGCAGGCTACATTATATTGTACGCTCTTTAACATGACACAAATTTTGTATTATTATTTTTTTCAGATCAACGCAAGGATAGGGCTGTGCAAGGCTTTTACCTTAAAATTGTTGGACGGTATGAACATATGTGGCACCTGGCAATAATTGTGGAAGTATGTTGTTATCTTGTTTGGTAAATTAAACGCATAGCAATGTCAATCAGATTAGAAACGGTTATAAAAATTGAGAAGACAAAATGAAAGATGCACTGTCATTGAGAAAGTTTGATGATAGACTCTGATTTACTTGTTGTTTAAGCAGCATTGCGTTGAAAGGATTTCTTGAAGAGAGAAACATTGATTAAAATTTTAAAAAGCAAAGATGATGGGTATGCTGTGCCCAAAGGTAACTCCAACCTAAAGATCACCTCCAACCCTTGAGGGTATACAATATGTACTTCCCTGTTACAAGCCTAGATCTACCCATAAGGAAATTTTCTTTTACTTTTATCATGGCTGTTAACCATCTGCTACAATGCATGCTATTACAGGGCAACAGCATTTCACTATGTGTTGACTTTTGACCTGCCGACAGTAGATGGTCTTTCAAATGTCCTATTTGACATGTGTCTTGTTGTCGGCTCAAGTGTTTTCAGAGCTTTCCAAATAATTCACTCCGTGTTTTGCAGGATTTCAATGGGAAGAGGACTCATGTCATCTTCCATGTGGATGAAAAACTCAAAGGGCACATAACAGGTTACCCAACGACCGGCTCATCACCAAAGACGTTCATCCCTCTGTGTGACTGCCTGGAACCAAACAACTTCTTAGTGCTGATGGACAGCCACTGGCACCAGTTCTTAGACAACACGCGGGGAATCCGCATTGATGACCTGGACACTGTTCATTTCATCCATATGGGTTGAAGGCTGTTTGGCCTTAATATTATTTTTATTTTTTGGAATAGGAAGGTGGATCTTTAGGCAGAATTCCTAGCTGAATGTGTTCGGCTTAGGCCGGCTTTGTCAGGAATTCTGTTGAAAACTAATGCATTTTGTGCAGAGTTGTTTTCGTTCTTTCTTTTTGCAATTCATTTTAAAAAATTAAGTTGCAAAGTTTTTTCAATTTGGTTTTTGTAAAGTTTTTAATCATCTGGTTGAGAAAAATTTGCTTATTAAAATGTTCGGTAACAACAAAACTAATTTTTTTTTTTTGCTGTTTACCCATCATGAAAATAAAGAAAACGGGTATTTTATTGTACATTTTAACACTCCTATTTTCTTGATGCATGCTTGTACTTGTATGCACATATTTCCAACATTCTAACTGTAGTATAATCAAGAGAAATAAAGTTATTATTCACTTTGGTATCAGAATTTTTATGGCACCTATTGCTTTTTTAAAACATACATATTTTCTTTTCAACGCACTGGTCAACACTATGATTGGTACTGCCTATTTCCTACTCAAATTTCCCCTGGTCAGCTCACAAGCACCTGTGTTCACAAGCACCAGTGTTCACAGGCACCAGTGCTTACAAGCACCAGTATTCAAAAACACCAGTATTCAAAAGCACCAGTGTTCACAAGCACCAGTGTTCACAAGCACCAGTGTTCACAAGCACCAGTGTTCACGAGCACCAGTGTTCACGAGCACCAGTGTTCACGAGCACCAGTGTTCACAAGCACCAGTGTTCACAAGCACCAGTGTTCAAAAGCACCTGTGTTCAAAAGCACCTGTGTTCAAAAGCTGTTGAATGGCCATACACTGCCATTTAACATTTAAAAGCAATTAATACTTGATTGGTTGAATTGTAAAAAAAAATCAAAACATGAATTATTTTCATGAGAAAAAAACCTCTAAATCCATAATTTTGCCCAATGTTATTTGTGTTTGACACACAATTTAAGCCATTTCACATATTTTAAAGGATGAGCTTTGTTTTAGTTTTTTCTGCTGTTTTCTAAATCATTTTCTCATGATGAATTACCCCAAACGTTCAAATATCTTTTCACTCATTACCTAAGTAGAAGTTGTTATGTAATTAGTAATACTTGTTTATTCAAACAAAAGTTTTTTTTAAAGCAAACTTTCTATTAGACTCCAAAAAAATGGTGCTTCAAATGTTATTGTTTTAAAAATAGAGGATATTTTTTCAATTAAACACTCAAGAGCCCTTCTGTTAATCAAAAGGCTTTGCCATGCATTTCAACTTCATAATTATGTGTTTAAAAAGGTCTATTTCAACATTGTATCATGTGTTTTGAAAAGGTCTCATGACTTTGTTTGAGACGTACATTTTTTAAAAAAGTATATAATTTCAAGCTTTGATGTATATACCAGCGTGTCATGTTATGCCAATGTTTTAATCTGGTATTTCCATGTCTTAAATAGTATGGGAAGCAAGCCATTTTGGAGTTTTTGCATTTTAACCAGCCATTGTTTTGAAGATCTGTTGTTTCCCAGGAATGCTGGTTTGTGTCATAGTTTTTTAAATCGGAACAAATTTTTGTACGTTTTAAACTGTATCATTTTTTTTGCATGTCTTATGTGTATGAAATTTGGTTTTAAATTTGCATCTCGAAAAATGGAAGTGCAACTTAGAAATGAATCAGAAATCTGATTATTGTTTTAATGTATGAGTTGTTAATTTAATGTATGAGTTTTGTTGATTTAATGGTGTATAAGTTGTGTTGTTGATTTCATGTAAGAGTTGTGTTGATGGTTTAACGTATGAGTTGTTTTGTTGATTTAATAGCTTGATCCATGTTTTAGCTACTGCCATGAATAAAAATTTATTAAGATCATAGTCAACTGGATGTAATTTTTTTTATCCTGCCAATGTGCCAACATCAAATATCCACCTGATAAAGCTTCTTACTAAATTGGCCAAGGGAGAGAAACAACTCTCCTATAATGTTGTGTTCCTTCTGTCTACTGACAATTTTGATACACTGGCAACACATTTAATTAACAAAAACACTTGTTACGATTCAAAATGTTACATTAAATTCAGACACAATTGCTACACTCAATGGTACTCGTATTTTAAATTTTGTACAATCTCATTTCTTGCGATTGTTTTTGTTAATTTTTTTTATTTTGCCTTGATGCTTGATATTAATGTCAAATTGGCAAATGTATTTATTTTCTTCTGATTATGGGAATAAAACATTACTGTTAATGTTAAAATTTTGTTTTTTTTATTATAGCATACATATTATATTATATACTACTATTATTACTATTAAATAAGTTATAAACAGTATTATTTATAAAACCAAACATATTTTCTTTTTAACACACTCCTAAACACTATGATTGTTATAGTCTATTTCCTACTCAAATTTCCCCTAGCCAGCTCACAAGCACAAGTGTTCACAATTTATAGCATCCCTGCATATACTTTATTATAATGTAGTCATTGGTATATAGCGTCTCACTAGCTTCCTAACCTGAGGGGGGGCGTCCATTCAATTATTGACAACTACCAGGAGTGCAGAACCTAAACTCAAATTGACACCGAAATCTGTGTCTGTGATCATAAGCCCTGCCCTGATAACCAGGATGTTGTTTTGGAAGTCGTGAATGGTTTCTTTCAGGGATAGTGAATGGTTTCTTTCAGGGATAAAAATTCATCGGTGAAACATTTGCCCAAACATGCCACCATTAAAAAAAAAAATAACTAATAAAGTTAAACTAAATTTTAATCATAACTATGGTTTTTTTCAGTATTGCTATTACTTTTAGTATTAATTAAAGAATGCATTAACCTACTAACCACAATCAGACCAGCCTAGGGATATAATACTTCTTTTTTTTAATTATTATTATTTTGAATGTTAGTGTTTAGAGTTAGGCGGTGCTATTTGCAACCAACCCTCTCAGGTGAAAGATTTTTGCTAGCAATAGTGTGTTGTAAAGACCCCCTGCAAGAGGTTAGGTTGAATCTATATGTTGGGCTGTTGTGCTTAGAAATATCAGGACTCCATTATCAGCCCATACAATTTAGTGATGGCCAATAAAGAACACCAAGTCCACGTCACAGTAACATCTCATCATTAGATCATGATAACCATTTGATAATAACTCGCATGACAAGAAGGAATGAAATCACCACTACAATAACAAGATAGCTTCTACTTCACCTGTGAGCTGGTGGACGCGAGATAAAATAACAGCTCAATAGATCCATAAATCAATATTGTCAAGTGGGAGAAGACATCAATAATTTGAAGGCATCACTAAATAGCTAATGCAATGCTTGAAAAGTGTGTTCTTTGATCCTCACCACTTAACGCCAGGTTCCATAGCCCTGACCTAAAACTCAAGTACCGGTACTACAGTTTACCTCACTTTGGCAGCGAAAAAAAAGTTATCTTCAACTAAACTTTTGTGAATGTTTAGATCTAATCATTGTTCTTTCAACTAAACTGATATCTTCCTTGACTCTTTATCTATTTCTTAGTTTTTATTTAAAGACTTTGCAATTAAATTATGGGGGGGGGGGAGATAATCCCCCCTCCCCCATCTGGGGAAATTTCCCTAGGTCTGGTAGCACTGCTTTGTAGGTTCAACGAAAATGAAAGAGCATAATATATAATCATATTTTAAAGGTCAGAAAGAAATGCATTTCTCCGTCGTTTACCAAGAATAGTCATATGGTTACGTTCCTAATATAGATTTTCTGCGGTGTTTTACGGCCCCTAAAGGGAGTAACCCTGTCAACAACTATCAACAATAACAATATATTTAATTATAGTTACCTTGGACTGGCTGTTTTTAAATTAGAGATGCTATTTTTTTTTCAAATTAACTATTTATATTCACATTTATTGTTCTAGCAAAGGCTTAGAAGCTGCCTTCACTTCTGGAAATGTTACGGTTAGACATTGTTAAGGATTACGAATGAATTAAGTGTAAGTCTTACGCTATAATTTATAATAAGTGGTGATAACTCCCAGGTAACTATGTAATAATTGTAATTAAATTTCTATTATTAGTTAAAGTCCCAACACTGCTGTAAATATGTAAGTGTAATCACAAAGGTTTTCGATTTAATTTTCGAAGTTTTTTTTTCCAGTGAATTTTATATATATTTATAATATTAAATATTATAAATTATAAAAGGCGGGGATTTTGGTGTGAAAAGGTGACATATAGAAGTTTTTTTTTTTTTTTGTTTTTTTTTAAATGGCAGTTAATTTTTTATTTTTCCCAATTTTTTTAGCTTTTGGAATTAAATTATTTTTTTTAATTATTATAATAATTTTTGTTTATTTAGAATTTAGAGTTAGGCCTACGGAAGTTGCGGTTAGAGTGAATGGGTTTTTATTGAATAACAACAATAACAAATCAGTGTTAATTATTTTGAGTTCGTGGCACTCAAAATTGTTGTCACCAGGACGGTGTACACTCATCACATGGTCCAAATAGTGTGAGTCTAGAACGCTTTGTACTATAAAAGTCGTTCTTAGCTTTGTGCGGGCGTTTCATTAGTTCTGAGCTTAACCCCCCTCCTCCCACCCACAAACCACCTTTAGCCCCGATCTCACTGACCGTAGCCACCAACCAATAATATGTCTTTTTATCTCCAAAAGAGTCTTTCCATTTCCACTGCCCATAACTCGCTGAACTACTCACTGAACTACCCGTTCCTTCACAGCAACCACCGGTCACGATAACTGGCACACCACCTCTCCCTTACCAACCCATCCACCCCCTCGTCCACTCTTAAACTAATACCCTCGCCTCTTTCCCTTACGTTCCCCTCGATCTGCAACCTTTCCCATAAATCCCACAAACACTCTCCTCCATGTTCTTACCCCCTCACCACCTATTAACCTGCATGCTTCACCTTCCCATACCATCTTCATACTCTCTCTCTACTTTCAACTGTATGTAATGCTTAGTCAACGCCATGCACCTTAAAATTGTGCAAGGGATTATGACGTCAGGTTGTCTAAGGGGGGTGGGTCCCCAACAGTCGCAGAAAGAAAGAAAAAAAACAACTAACTCTGGCCTCTACGGAGAGCGGGAAAAAAAGTCAAAAGTTTTGTTTCGACTTACAAATACAATGACGGTTAATAAAAAGTTTTTATATGCCTTTTTTCCCCTATGAATTTTTTTCCTGCGTGCCATTTTTCCCTTGTGATTTTTCTACAAGCGGGGGGGGGGGGGGGGGGGGAAGCGGCAGGAGCATAAAACCGAAAAATGGCTGGGGGCCTACGAAAGTCAAGCGACGGCTCTGTACTCACCATTCAACTAAATGACCGTTTTAGAGTTAGGATGAACGGCAGTGACGTTGTGTGGCACAGGGATTTGCTGCAAATGGATCTTCAGGCATGCGTATTTGATGTTCCATCTGAAATGTTTTCAAAACAAATGTGAAGATATTGTGGTGGTGTCAGTTTCTCAAGTACTCAGTTCTTTTATTTCTTGTATGATTGAAAATGACACATTTTGGTACGTGTATTTGTGTGTTTTTTAAAGTTAAAAAGCCATGTGATTGCGCACTGATTATTGTGTTTTATCGTGCGCGATGTGTCGTGTGTGTTAAGTTCAGCTAATGAACGCTTTTGGCGCCATTAAGCCTGTGACGTATCGTGACGCGTTTTATTTAATTATTTTGACGCAGTGTCTACAGTCTGTCAAAGGCAGTTGGTGTGAGAACTTCGTGGATGTAGATTGTACTACGTTCTTCTACTTATAGCGAGATGCGCTATACATGTGCTTGAGTCATTGTAAAGCCTGATGTATAATAATATTATGTTTCAGAATCAAAATTTTAAAAATGGCCTTTTCTTTTGGAAAAGGGACTTGTGTTCAGTTCGGGGTGCTATTACGGCACATGAATGTGTAAAACAATTTGATGAAAGAAAAACCAGCCATTTGGGGATCGCGACAAGCCACCCTAGCTTAAGTTGTGGTGATCTTGTTCTGGTTTCCTCTACCCTTAGCATATGTGGAGGAGTCTTGGCGTTATCGGCTTCCATGGGACACGTTTTAATTTCCCAGGATGAGTGTTCAATTAAGTCTCCTTTTATGTTTCATTTTTTTTAAAATTATCACGGCTTGGCACCCTGGTGATTTTTCTCGCTCTAAACATTTATTCGTTTTTTTTTTTAGTGATCAGGGTGGCAGCAGCCTCCCCGGTGTCAAGTAAAAAATTTCTAGGTTGCCAGCAAGGGCTCCATCAGTTCATGTCTTTTTCTGCGTTTATGTTTACTTTAAAACAATCGTATAATTAGCACCTTTTCGTCTTCAATAGACGACGCAGTAGTTACTATATTACTTGCAATTTCTCGAGTGGCTAATGAGGCCGATCCTGAAGTGGCGCTGGCAGTCTCGGCAACACTTCCCGCAAATTACCCGCAACTGCTTTCTATCTTGCCTTCTTCTTTGCTCTTGTTCACAACAAAGGGGTTTCGTTTCACATCCTCCAGCCTGTTTGGTGTCCTTATTTGATGCCGTTCCCCATCCGGAACAGAGATAAGCGATACTCTCTCGTTTGCTAATTTCAGTGTAAGATTCTCTGGCGTTTCTTTCGCACCCATCTTTATAGCAAGGTCACGACCGTCTAAGAGATCTTGTCTCCTCTGCAGTGTGTCATTTGGAATACGGCGTTTCTTCCCCCCCCCCCTTTCTCTCTTTACATGACAACGAGAGCTCCTGTTATTAAGATTAGATATAATATAATGCTGCACATCCTGGCTTAGATGTGTAGGATAGTAATAACTCGCCAAACAATGTCGTGAAGTGTCCATCTTTTTGAAAGTTCCTTGACCAAAACATGCGTTCAAGTAACACACTTTTTAAGAGTCCCAATTAGTGCTAACTTCTGGGAACTTTATTTTGCGCGCCTGTAACGCAGTTTTAAATACAGTACAGTCATTCATATTCATACATACCTTCAAAATAATCATTGTGATGGCATAGATTTATTCATATATATGGTACCAAAAAACGCCAGATATAACCATTTCAAAAAGGAGTGATTTAAACTAAATTGTTTAAAATCATTATTAAAATTGTATACTCGTGTCATTTTCAGGGGGAAAAACATTTCTGCATGCGACCTCCTGATAAAAGTACAGCTTTGAAATTTCATAAAATTAATTCCGAGCTTTGCTTCTTTTTTAATGGAACAAATCAAGTGGTTTAGAGTATTTGGTCAATGTGAAAAATGTGGACAGAAATTCAAAACAAAGACCATGATTTACTGCCAGGAATGTAAAATAATCAAGTAAGATATGAAAAAAACGCTTTATTAAATATTTTAGTATAGGCCTATATTACGATACAGATTGTTTCAGAAATTTTAAACTGCCCATATTTACATTACCTATACAGTAACTATGCTCTACGATTTAACTTCAAAATTTAAGAGATAAATTAATGGGACGAAACAGCTTTCTCGATGCATAGACGGATGGACTTTTTTTGCCTTGGTGCAAGACCAAGAGCAAATATCTAAGATTGTATTAATATAGCTCAACATCTGCAGGTAGCAATGATTTGAAAATATTTCAGGGGCTGAGTGTCATCTGCCATTTTTTACACATCTCATAATATAAGTAAATATTTAATCATATAATTTATTGGAATTGGGGAGTTTAAGATTTATATTTAAGATATGTGATCAACTGATTGAGTTATTATTTTTTTGTTTAGCAAGAATGATTATCAACAAATTAACGCATGATACATGGAAACATTTTTTACAATATACATCCAGATACTGCTCAAATACTTGTATGGGAAGCGACAAAGACTTTCATAAAAATGTATGTGGAAATGTTACTACCGTAACAGAAGTTACAAAATATGATGGAGAATTTTATACACATGCTTCAAATGAAAGTAAAACACATGAAAACATGGAAAGAAGGACTGAGATTTCAACGGGACTACATGATGTGACAGGTATTCATGTCAACCTAATTGTTATATTTATTAATTACTATGTCAAACACAAGGAAAACTATCACTTATTTTTCAGCTTCGTGTCTAGATTTTTAATGATTAGCTACAAGCAAAACAGCATGGCCTCCCACATCTCAATTCAAGAAACAATGGGCATCACGCATTGACATCGAAGGGAAGCAACTACAACACAACGACTTCACAACGTTAAACAAATCTTTTCGACACATTATTGGTTTTGATGTCTATTATATAATTAACCGCTATTTAGGGAGTAGGACTATAGCTATACTGTTTGTTGTTTGTTTTTTTAAAATTCCATCGACTTTTATTTTTTTGCTTTCTACTTTCTACAAGATTGACTTTCAATTTTAGGCAGTGACTTTTAATAATTTAATAGAGACAATGATGGATTTATGTAGAAGTACAAGTTGGAAGAATTTTTATTAATATTTATAAACCATTGTGATACATCTCAGATTCTCACATTGATCATTCGAAAAGAGCTTTCATAGGTTTTGTGACAGCATCTGGCCTATTTTTAAATTAAGCATTTAAACATTTTTTGAGAAGCTTTTTTGTCAAATACTGAAATTAGGTGACTCAATATTTTCCCGCATCTGTTCTAAAGCCTGTTGGTCAAAAAAATTGTTGTGTGGCTTCATGAGCATCAGCCCTGTGATACCAGTGTTTGGGGATGTTCAGGAAATAGCCTAAATAATAATAATAATAATAAAGTTTATTTGAAAATCACGCTTCATCCCCAAAGGCTTGAAGCGCGGAACAAAGTCAACCATATTAAAAGAGAAATGAAATAATCTATATTATACAACAATGAAATACAAAACGCAACATTACTACATACGAGAATACCCATTATAATTCTTTCATCCTTTACAAACATAAACAACACAGGCCAATATACACCGAGGAGATAGTAGCCAGCTGGAAAAGATGGTGGACAACATTGAATATAAATGTGATGGCATGGGCCAAATTTTGTGGGAGTTAAGATGGAAGTATATATTTCGTAGCAAAAATATTAGATCTCAGAGCAGCCTATATTATATCTGTACAAGCTGTAACTGTGGCCTACACTTAATGAAATTTATACATTCATGTACATGTACTTTAATTGACATATAACATTTTTAAAAAGAAAAGAGAGTTCTAGTTCAAATAATATTAAAGTAACACTTTTTTTTTCCACCAACAATAAGTAACACATTAATTCATTCCAGCTAAAAAATTATCAGAAGAGGCCATTTCTGAGAGAGACATAACAGAAGAGGCCATTGCTGAGAGAGACACTACAAAAACATCCATTTGCTCTTTCTGCAAGTTTATCAGCTCACCACTATTGGTTTGTTCTAAATGCTCAAATGTGAAATATTGCAGTAAAGAATGCCAGCAACAAGATTTTAAAAGGCATAAATTATTATGTTGTAAGTTGCTGGGCTTTTTTTTATTGGATTAACAGGCCTATTCATGGAAAATTGTTGTTGTTGTTTGTGGTTAATCTATTTATCAAAGTTGAGTAAAGACAATATTAACAATCTGGGAATCAGAAAAGAAGATGAATAGTGGAACATAAAAATTGTGTCAATTTTTTTTTGTATAGATTTACAAAATAATCACAAACCATAGTTTGGATTCAAATAGAAAAGAAATGAACGTGATTGAACGTTTGATGTTGAAAAACTCTGAAATTTTGGGCCAAACAACATTGAAAACTGTTAGCCAATTAATAAGATGACAAAACTAAGGCATTCCCCCCTAGAATTGATGGACACATGAAGATGGTGTCCTGTTCATCAATTAATAAATAAAATTTCAAGCTATTTAGAGTTTTAGAATATCAATATCCCTTGTTTTTTTGTTTTTTTAGACATCGTTTCATTACTTGTCATAAAACATATTTCTATATTGTCACTTTAAAAAAAAAAAACCCAGTTACTTTTTCTAAAGAAATTTTTCTTTATGGTTTTAAAACTAATTTTTTTTTTTTTTTTTTTTTTTTTTTTTTTTTTTTTTTATTTTTTTTTTTTTTTTTTTTTTTAGTCTTGTTTTAATTACTTTTCATAAAATATTTTTTTTTTTTTTATCTTTAAAAAAAAAAAACCCAGTTACTTTTTCTAAAGAAATTTTTCTTTATGGTTTTAAAACTAATTTTTTTTTTCTAAGTAGTTTCATCTTTGAAATTTGAAATAAAAAATGGAAGCAACATGTTTATAAAGAGGCAAATAGATATTGCAGTTAAAGAAGAAGGTTTTGTAATATGTGTGCATTGCAATAGCGTTAAGCCTATCTCAAAAAAGACTGTATGCCACAGCTGTTGTATGATTTACTGCAGTCAAGACTGTCAAAGAAAGAACCTCTTACATCATGTTAATTTCTGTGGTAAGTTAGTTTTCATAACATAAAAGGAAAAAATTCAATAAACATTTCACTGAATTCATTCTACTTCTACTTTAATTCTGTCATACAAAATTATTATTTTTAGCCAATGTAAAATTTGTAATCCCAAATGATTAGTTTTATTTATTTATTGATGATGAATAATATCAATTTTTTTTTAATGAAGACCATTTCTAGGTAGCAATGGATTTAAATTTTCTTTCAAATACTCTTGGTGAAAGCTAACCAGTAGTATTTTTAAAAGAAAAATTAAAATCCATTGCTACATAGAAATTTATGGTCTTCATTAAAAAAAATTATAATAATAATACTATTTTGTAAGACAGAATTCTCTACTCTAATTCTGTCATACAAAATTAGTATTTTTAGCCAATGTAAAATTAGGAAACTCTATGAGTCTTTTTATTTATTTATTGCTGATAAATAATGTCAAATTTTTGTTTTTTTTAATAAGGACCGTTTCTATGTAGCTATGGAGTTTAATTTACTTTTAAATGCTCCTGGTGACAACAAAGAAAAAGGTGCAACAAATTCTATAAATATTAAACAAGCATCAATACTAGACTGGAGTGTCAAACATAAAAGTCACTATTGTAAAGATTTCTACTTTTTTTTACCAGAAATATTGTCAGTATTTCATACAGTTGATGAGTTCATAACGGATCAAGTTCCTCCTGAAAAGTTACAGAAATATGGGTTTCCTCACCTAAGATTTCCAAAAACTAACCTTTTGCAAGCACTTGATGAAGTTCACAGTAAGTTGATAAAACTATTTATTTAACCCCAAAGGATACTTTTATTCCTTTAAATTTAAAGCTTATTTTCCCCAGGTCATGCTAGGCTTTTGTCTTTTCAGAGGCACAAGTGGAGGAAAAAAATCATGTTCTTATTTTTTTATTTCTAAACCATTATAAGTTAATTATTAGAAACTTTAATATCCCAAGTAGAAGCCGGCAGATGAAGAATATCTAGAAAAAGTAGCAATAATGAATGGCGTGGATTTTTTTATGTTGACAGAGGTAACATTTTTTAAATTCAATTTGTCTTATTGAAAGTATTAGAAAATCGCAAATGAAAAATTGTATGACATTAAGTATTTTTAACAGAAAAAAACTTTTAAAGTAGATAGAATATTAACCATGAAATAATTTTCAAAAATACCTTTTAAAAGAATTATAATAATAAATTATGTCATAAATTATGTGTCTATAATATTAACAATGAAATTATTTATTTTATTTTTCAAAAATTATTTCATTGTTAATATTGTAGATACAATATTAACAATGAAATAATGTTAATTTTTAAAATAATAATTTCAAGCCCTAAATCAACCTCTTTAGGATCCTTGGACCCAGTAGCATTGTTGCAGATTATTGGATGGTATCCTCACCTGTCTTTTCCAGCAGTGGTTGTTAGGGTGAGTTATATCTTACATAAGAGGCAACTTAAGTAAAGCAATTTGCACCTGACAGGTGGCCCCAGCACCGCTAGGCTTGCATGACCAGCTGTAGACAAACATATGCAATCAGCAAGACACAAAGGTCAGTTTTTTTTAAAGTTTGAGCTGATGATAAGTTCTCATTACATCAGGGGTGAAGAACTTACTTCTAGAATTTTGCATACATCTCCAAGAAGTCGCATATGTCTCTGAGAAGTTGCCTAAATCTTCAAGAAGATGCAAACATCTCTGAGAAGTTGTATATATCTCCAAAATTTTGTATACATCTCCAATAATTTGCCTAAATCTTCAAGAAGTTCCATACATTTTCAAGATGTTGAAACAAAGGAACTTAAAATTAATAGCTATTCAATTGTTCATTTTAAAAAAAAAAAAAAAAATTTAGTTTTTTTAATAAGCTAGAATATACCATTTATCTATTGGCTTTGTCTTTATGAGAACATTCATGGAATCTGATAAGTAAATTGGAGACACTAAGTACACAAAAGGGATGTAATAAAGAAAGAAATAAGAATTAATATACTGCTTTGACATAATAATACTTAAAATAATCCCACTTCACAAACCAATTCTAATATGGAGTTAAGTTTTATTATTCTTACCAACTTTTTAGAATATGCCCTTTTTTTTATTTCAACCAGGATGGTATAAAAAATGAGGCTCGCATTATCTTTGATGATGCAAAGACAATGGCAAACATGACAATTAAGCACAAGGATAAATCAGCTGAAATGAAAATGTCTCCTCTGGATGAGTGCTTGAAGCCTGGCAACTTCATCTTATTGACCAAAGTTTTGTGGCATCATTGCAAGGATGGAACACAAGGACTGCTTGTGGGTGATCTGGATACTGTACATTTCATTCATCTGGAATAATTGTATTTACTTCACAACTGACCTTGATGGAATCTCTTGAGGACCTTCTCTATAAGGTTTATAAAAACTGTTTGTCTTGAGAGAATAAACTTATACATAATACATATGTATATTTATTCGCAATAGAAATTTAACACCTCTAAAAAGGATCACCATCGAATGTGTATGTTTCTATTGGACTCAAGAATGGTTTAGGTTGAAAAAAATAGTCCAAATAGGTTTAAAAATAGTCCAAATAGGTTTAAGAATAGTCCAAATAGGTTTAAGAATAGTCCAAATAGGTTTACCATAAGATAAAAATTATAGAGAAACAGGTTGTGGGATAAAGGAAATGGTGGATAAGGAGAAGAATGAGATTTTAAAGTAAATGAAATACCTGATAAAGTATCAAAGACGTCAGAAAAAGTTGTAGATTTTAGCTTAGCATGCCTGCTATTATTTCATGGTTAATACTTTACAGTATGCTATAAATGCTTCATTGCTCTGTGTGAAATATTCCCAGTATTTCCTACTTGATATGAGCAAAGTTTCATTTCTTTTTTCATTTTATCTTTACTTTAAATTGTATTTTTTTTTTTTTTGGCCTTCTAGCATGCACGTATTTTGTTTTTTTGTGTATATAGCCAAGTTTTTAAGTTACTTTGTGCTTATTTCCTTGTTTTCCACTTATTTATTCTTAAATTTATGGAATTTTTTCCTTTCACAGGATAAAACATTTTAGTTGCTTTGTAAAATTCAAAGGTTAATACTTTACAGTATGCTATAAATTCTTCATTGCTCTTTGTTAAATATTCCCAGTATTTCCTATTTGATATGAGCAAAGTTTCTTTTTTTTTTTCATTTTATCTTTACTTTAAATTGTATTTTTTTTTTTTTGGCCTTCTAGCATGCACGTATTTTGTTTTCTTGTGTATATAGCCAAGTTTTTAAGTTACTTTGTGCTTATTTCCTTGTTTACCACTTAATTATTCTTAAATTTATGGAAGTGTTTCCTTTCACAGGATAAAACATTTTAGTAGCATTGTAAAATTCAACAAAATTATTTATTTAAAAAAATGTATTGAAATTTATTTTTGAATTTATTGATATTTCCAATTTTTTATAGTTATTTTTGTAAATTTTTTATTTGTATATCTTGAAACTCATCCAAGCAATATGTTTAAATCCGTTTTGACCTATGATTTGCTGGATAACATGAGAAATTAATGTCACTAATGAGTTAAACTGATGTTTCAACCATGACATACCTGGTATAATATAATTTTGTATGCATTTGCTTTAATTTCTTAAGTTTTATTTAATTTTTGACATCTTTTTATTCCACTTGACGTGGGTGTTATTGACTGAGTGTTGATTTACACACGTCTTGACATGAGTATTGATAGAGTGTTGATTGTCATGAGTGTTGAAAGACTTGAGTGCTAACTGACATGAGTGGTGAAGGGCATGAGTGTTCATTGAAATGAGTGTTGACTGACTGGTTTAAATCAAACTTACAATAAGTCTATTCATGGCATAAAAAATGTATAGATATTAGCCCTTTGTCAATACCTCAGAGATATTCATGGCATCAAAAAATGTATAGATATTAGCGCCTAGTCAATACCTCAGAGATATTCATGGCATAAAAAAATGTATAGATATTAGCCCCTAGTCAATACCTCAAAGCTATAAAAAGGGTAACAACCTAAAAAAAAATTTAAAAAGCAGCCGCCAAAGCTTATAATGTCACTGTTGTGGTTAGTCCTCATTCTGATCATTTTCATTAGAAAATACTTGTTTGATTGCAGCGCTTCTCAAGCTTTCTGTCACAGAGTCTATCAGGAACTTATCCAAACTTCAAAAGAGACTGATGCCCAATTTATTGGCAACTGTCTCTTTTTCAGCTGCTTAAATTGATCATTTTTAGGGGTGTGCCGGATCCGTTTTTTCCAACCGGATCCGGATCCAGATTTTCTGATGCGAAATCCGCCGGATCCGGATTCCGGAATATTCCGGATTTTGGTACTATTGGTAGATACTTCGGTAAGTCAAGGTGGACTACTACTTTTTGTGTATGGGAATTCGCAATCGGCGCCAAAAAATCCGAGTTTTTAATTTTCCGATGTCTGTGTCTATTTATTATTAAATTAGTACTTTCGATATATATTTGAGTTCCGTTCCATTTGGATAAGTGTTTCTACGCGTTCGCAGCAGGTCATGCAGCTCGCTCAACCTAATTTCGCCATGGGGTTGGCCACGCCCCCCTTTTTAATGGCGGAAGTTGACGATACTTAGGAAATATTAATATATTATCACTATTTACATCAAAATAATTGATAACTTGTGTTTCAGAATGCATTTAAAGACATTTAAACTGGAATGTTTTAATTTGAGCTTTAACAACCCGGTAGAATCCATATTATAAATGATCAGAATTTACCGTGTGCAACACGTTGTCATTGGCAACCATTCACAGCCACTTGCATAACTGTATCGTAGTACTACCTCAGAGTTTCATTCATAAGAGTTTGCCGTGTGCAAAAACTATTAAACCATTGGTCAGGGAAAGCTTTAATTAATTATTCATGTGCCAAAGTTGAAAGTTTAAACTAAGTCTAAACAGTATTTTAGTGATAAGGCAGGGAATGCGTTGCCTTATATAAACTATATAGTCATTGCGCATGACGGGATTGGTGGAATGAGATCACAGAATGTGGAGATGCAGTCCATGTTAAAAAATGACAAACCAAGTCGTACTTTAAAAATTCATAACTTTAAAACTACAACAGCTAAAAATATGATTTTGGTGTTATAATTCTTTAAAAAATTACATCTTTTCAACTATGCCATTGGTTTATTTTTACAAAAAGTTTAAATTTTCTTATCAAAGTCCCTACACTATTGGCCACTATTAGCGGTGCTGACTCTAGCCTCTGGTATGTACGGAATATTAAACATTAAACAAGCTCAACGCTCGAAACAATCGATTAATGTATCGTGATCGTGTGGAATTCGGGAAAGAGAATTACTTTTATTTCAGATTATGATCCGGTGAGTCACAAAATCTGGAAAATTCCGAAATCCGGTATATTCCGGAATCCGGTTGTTCCGGATACATGTAAATCCGGCGGAACCGGATTTCACCAGATAGTGCAAAATCCGGCGGAACCGGATTCCGGACCTGACTCCGGCACACCCCTAATCATTTTAATAACAAAAAAACAACAACAAAAATTTTACTTTTTTTAGTTTGTATTTGGGTATCATTTAATATCATACATTGTATCTATTATCACAATACGAAAATAAAAAATTTCATTGCTTTTACATTTAAACTTTGCAAAATACATGTTTTGTTTCCATCATCAGTATTTATCTTTAGAATCTCTGCTTTAAAGTAATTATTTTCCACAACATTTCCTAGGCAGCACTTGCATCTACCACTAATGTAATGCATTCTTGTAAAACAATAAATGTTTTCACAAATTTATACAGTTGCTAGAATAGCCTTTTTTTTAAAAATATTTACAAGTAAAAGTAACTCTGAAAATTCCTTACGTCTTAAAGTTTTCTTTACAACTGTCCTAGATCACTGTTGCACTTGACTGAGTTTTTCAAAGCATGCTTGCAAGACTCCCACATCTAAATCTCCTTGAACACTGATGGTATACACCGACACTCTGTCATTATGCGATGTCAGCTTTGCGTTGGCTGTTCCATTGACGGCAACTTCTTTCACCAGTGCATCCATTTCTCCTTTGGATAGCACCTGAAACACACCATTGTCATTTTCAATCAATCCACATTGGCAATAGTTTTACTCTCTCATTTTTTTTAAAGATTCAATCATCATTTGAGAGTTATTCGTGCACATCATTTGGGGGGAAATTGTAATTAAATATTATCCTTTTGTGTCATTATAAAAAACGCAGATTTATGTAAATAATGTTTTTTAAAAGGAATAAGGAATATTACATGCATATTATTTTTCAAATTATCTCAAATGAATAAAATATTTTTCAATGTTATGATATTATTATTTCTAAGGCTTTTTTCTCTTCTCGTAACTCCAGAATGAGACAAAAATAATTGCAGTTTTATCAAATGTAATATTGTGCTGTAAACAGTCGCTAATGCCATGTTAAATGGGATTTTTATTTGTTTTGTTTTTTTTAAATAATTTTCAATTTATATTCCAATACGATGAACAACATTTAAGAGCAGGGGGAGACAACAAATAAAAAATCCTTGCACAGACCTTGTGTGATCTGAGAGGCAAGCTGAAAACAACATTAGCATTGGTGCGCCCTTTCTTCACCAAGACGATGCATTTTCCCCAGCCTTGCTGTGATAAAGATTTGGCCATCTGCAATGAGAGCAATTGATATAATAAAGGCTGCATCTATAGGTACCCGGGTACCTATGGTTGCCAATAACTATTCGCACCCGGAGTGGCTCCGTACATATTAAATGGCTTCGGAGCCGGGTGTGATAATAATAATAGTATGAAAATTATTTTTTTAAATTGTTTTTTCTCCTTGTTATTTCATTGATTCATAGTTTTATTCTTTATAGTTTTTTTAGTTTTGCTTTGTTAATTTCTCTTAGAACCGGTAGATTTTTTTTCTTTCTTATTTTCTTTTTAGTTTAAGCCATTGCCGTAGATCAATTATTTTTTTAAAATCTAGTAATGAAGATGATTTAGATACATTTATTGTTTTCATTTGAATTTTAGAAAAGAAATATAATATTAATTTAATTATTAAAATTAAATCCTTTATTTGAGATTATTTACGTGTATTGTTAAAGTTAAAAGATTTAATCTCACAGTACTTTATGAATTAATTAGGTATTCTAAATAATGAAAATTTCATTTATAATGAATTAATTTCAACTATTCCTCTAGAGCAGTGGTTCTCAACCTTTCTAGTGCCGCAACCCTTTAATACGGTTTCTCGTGT